ATTTTAACAGTGTTATTCAATGAAACCATACGATTATTATTAATTAACCAATCATTATTGCCTCATTGTTTTTATATAATGCATTTTATGTAATTTTAAAGGTTGTTGATCGCTTAGGTCTGTTTTTATTACCACAAAAATATTATCTGAATACTTCGTAAATTATAATTTGAAGCGATTTGAAGTATCAAAACCATGGTTAATTTGTGGTTACCACTGCTACAAGAACCATGTTTTTTTTGTTTTTTTTTTGTAGTAAAATTATGGTTCATTTTCGTAAGGGAACATGGAAAATTTGAGAGAATATCAAGGCAGATGTGGCGGTGATATTATTATAGACATTAAAACACGTTATTAACGTCAACATCCAAAAAAGTTTCACAGGATTATGAACGTACCTAAAAGTGATGCACGGGCTTAATCTTGGGCTTATTTTCTTTTTCTCGGCGCTGGACTACTGATGTGTTTTCCCGGGCATAGTTGTCCATCAGTTATTATCATTTGCAGTCAGCCGCAAACATGAGACGAGAGCGAGCGCGGTCACGTGCTTTGCCTGTCTACTGCGTTCACAGTAAAACGTTTTTTTTTTTTTTTATAATTATGTTAATATATGTTCGTGTTTATATTTTTATTTATGTAATGTATGTGTATATGTTAATATTAATATAGAACGAAAGTTTTTTTTTTGAGCAACTGCAATGGTGCCACCCTGGGAGTTGGTGCCCTATACGCAAACTGCGTACTCTGCGTATAGGGAGCGGCGGTACTTTATATCAGTGGTTCCTAACCCTGGTCCTGGAGGCACCCCAACACTGCACTTTTTGCATGTCTCCTTTCTCTGACAAACCAATTTCAGGTCTTGAAGTCTCTACTAATGAGCTGATGACCTGAATCAGGTGTGTTTGATTAAAGGGGTCATATGATGCAATTTCAAGTTTTCCTTCCTCTTTGGAGTGTTACAAGCTCTTGGTGCATAAAGAAGATCTGTAAAGTTGCAAAGACTAAAGTCTCAAATCCAAAGAGATATTCTTTATAAAAGTTAAGAGTCAGCCACACCTACCTAAAACGGCTCGTTCTAACACGCCCCCACAAATCTAGGCCACTATGTGGAAATATTAGCATAATGCCGCCCAAACGTGCACGCAAAGAAAGAAGGCGTGGTTTCAGAAACAGCAGTAGTGTTGATGCAGCCATGTCAGGGAGAAGCTGTGTGTTTC